CCTCCCGGGCGACCCCGCCCCTCGGGCTGTTTCCCGGGTGAACTCCCTGCGGGAAGGGGTGGGTCTTCCGTTCGTTTGGGCACCGACGGCCGCTGCAGGGGTCCGAGTGCGCGCCGAGCTCTGCGGCGCCCGGGTCCGTCGGCGCCCCCGGCCCCGGCCCCCCGCGCCCCGCAGCCTCGGCCGCAGCGGTCTCGTCCTCGCCCGCAAGACCCGCCGCCATGAGGGTGAAGATTAAGTGCTGGAACGGCGTGGCCACTTGGCTCTGGGTGGCCAACGACGAGAACTGCGGCATCTGCCGGATGGCCTTCAACGGCTGCTGCCCGGACTGTGAGTGCCCCGCGCCCCGCACACACCCCGCCCCCCCTCCGCCCCCCGCGACCCCTCACGCACCCCGCGTCTCCCAGGAAGCACCGGCGCCGAGGGCCTGGGTCCGGGCTCCCTCCCCTCGAGAAGAGTTGGCGGGAGAAAGGGAGGAGGTTGGGTCCGAACGTGGATCCAGACGCCGTCAGGGGCCGCACTGAGCTGGGACTCGCGTGGGGCAGGGAGAGGGGGTGGAACTTATTGGAAAATAACGGGACCAAAAGGAGTTTCGTGAGGAGACGCGCCCATCGGGACGGGGAGGAGCCGGAGGAGCGGCGGGGGGAGCTGGAAAGTCATCGGGAACCGGCCCCGCGCCCTCGCCTCCCCCGCGTCTCTAACCGGCGGACTTTCCATCTCCGCTCCCGTCCCCGGCGCCCCGGCGCCCTATTCCCGGGGCCGAGCGGGGCTGCTGGCCCTGCCCGTCACCTGTTTGATCTTTTCGGGGGTTTTTTAGCTGCTTGATCTTAGCAGCCCTCCTCCCCCTCCCCCCTCTCCTTTTCAGGCCCCGACCCCTTTAGGAAGCTGATGCCTGTATCTGTGTGTTTGTATCTCTGTGTGTGTTTGTCTGTATCTGTGTGTGTATCTGTATCTGTGTGTGTGTGTATCTGTGTGTGTGTGTATCTGTGTGTGTGTGTGAGATCTTGCTGACCATCAGGTTTCACTGGATTTCTCCTTTGTGGTGCCTTTGTCCCGGGCCTGTTCTGCAAAGTAGAAACATTTCGCTGTCTGTTTAGGTCAGAAGCAGACGTTTGCTGCAGGGGGTTGAGTTTTTTGTCAGACCCGAGGGAACACAGCAGAAGCAAGGGGAGGACTCGGTGTGTGTGTGGGGGGGGAGGGGGGGGGACCAGGGCTGCGGAGGAAAAGTGGGGACTGAGGCTCCCCACTGCCCTGTGATGACCAGGCCTTGTTTGTGGGCCGAGTGCCCAGAATAGCGACAGGGCTTTGCTGCTTCTTCTTTTTCTAAAATATATTTTTATTGATTTTTTTTACAGAGAGGAAGGAGAGGGATAGAGAGTTAGAAACATCTATGAGAGAGAAACATCGATCAGCTGCCTCCTACACACCCCCCACTGGGGATGTGCCCACAAGCAAGGTACATGCCCTTGACCGGAATCGAACCCGGGACCCCGCAGTCCCCAGGCCGAAGCTCTATCCACTGAGCCAAACAGGCCAGGGCGGGACAGGGCTTTGCTTGTTGCAGTGAAATGCGGACCATCCCGGAATTCTAGGCTTAATCTCGTCTGCTTTGTTTGAGAGGAACCTCGTCACCTGGCGCTAATCCATCCTGATCCAATCCCACCGGTGGGCGGGGCCTGAGATAGCCATTGATTGGCTCTGCTTCATCTGTTTCTTTTAATCTATTTTAAATTGTTTCCCAAGGGTACACAGAGGCCAGGGAGCCTGAGGGGGAGAGTTCTTATAACTTTCTAAGCAACAGATTGTGCCTTCTGAAAAGAAAAAAGTCTTCAAGTGCCCGGGGGTGATGGGTGTGGTGGGTGAGCCTGTGTTCACGATGGCACCAGGGGCCTGCACAGCCCAGCTGGGCCCGTGGCTGGGTGTCCCCGTGTGCCGGCCCTGCCAGCTGCGGAGAGCGGCGGGTTTAGAGTCTGATCTGTGGACCTGCTGGTGGTGGTGGAGGGAGCCAGTTGTGACGTGCAAGGTGTTTGACGAGCTCAGCTGCTTGCTGTGCAGACGAAGTGGCACCGGTTTCTCTTGCCAAGTGCACGTCCTTGGGCAAACCCAGGGGGCCCGAGGCGGTAGTGAGGCCGCTCCACGCTCCGTGGCCCAGCAGGCTCTGGAGTGAAAGTCCCGGTGAGCCGAGTTCTAACTGAAAGGACTTCCATCCGGACACTGGCAGGCCCGAGTCACCGCCCTGTCCCGGCAGGCAGGGCTCAGGGCGGCCTGGTGCCCTGTCGGTGGGCTCGCGGGACCCCAGCTGTGGGCTGGCTGCTCCTGCTCCCCCTCACCTTCCTGTTTGTAAGGGACCTGGTTTGATAGGGTGATTCCAAGCGGAGTTTCGCTAAGGCTGGAAAGGCCCTGGGTGTGGGGGTGTCACACGGTGCGTGCTCCTGGCACAGGCAGGGGAGTGAGGTCTATAATTTTGTGTTTTCTAAGTGTATAGTTTTCTGGTTGTGTCATAAAAGCTTCAGAAAGCAAGTGACATTTTTGTTAGAGAAAATATGTTTTAAAAGGTTGCCTGGCCAGTGTTGCTCAGTGATTGAACCTCGACCTATGAACCAGGAGGTCTTGGTTTGATTAGCAGTCGGGGCACAGGCCCAGGTTGCAGGCTCGATCCCCAGTGTGGGGCCTGCAGGAGGCAGCCGATCAGTGATTCTGTCTCATCATTGATGTCTCTCTCTCTCCCTCTCCTTCCTCTCTGAAGTCAATAAAAATTTTTTTTTTAAAGAAAGAGGACTAGCCCTACTGCGCTGAGACACAGTCACCTGGCATCGCAGTCAGGTGGCCGCGCTGCAGTGTCTGCTGATAGGCCCGGGCCGGGAGGCTGGCGGTGGGGGCTGTGGGCCAGGCCAGGGCTCTTCCTGCCACTGATGCCCACCCCCCCCCAGCTGCTCTCACTGGGTGGGGCTCACACGGGGGTGGCGTCCCACAGAATCAGGGGTGACTCCTGCAATTGTCTTCTCCGAGAGGCCCTGGGCGCCCACACCTAACATCCTGGGGTCCCTGCCTCGGCCCCGCCTGCTGCCACGTGCCCTGTCCCTGCAGGTAAGGTGCCCGGCGACGACTGCCCGCTGGTGTGGGGCCAGTGCTCCCACTGCTTCCACATGCACTGCATCCTCAAGTGGCTGAACGCGCAGCAGGTGCAGCAGCACTGCCCCATGTGCCGCCAGGAGTGGAAGTTCAAGGAGTGAGCGCCCCATGCCCGGCCGCCGGAGCCCCCCCATCCCCACCCCCCGGGGCGGACTGAGAACTGGCGCTATGCTGTTTTTCTCAGTCACGAAGTTGACACTTTTATCCAATGAGTAAAACTCATTAAACTGCCTGAGCCTTGCTGGAGGCCTCTGCTTGCCTGGTTTTTTCTTTGGCCGCTGACGTGGCCTCGACGCCTGTGGATATGAAAACTCTCATGAATAAACATCTTTGGGTGCCGCTGAGCTGAGTCACTCCCGGGAGGCAAAGGAGCCCAGCATCAGCCGGCAGAGCCGGGCAGGAGGGGGCTCCGCCTGGAAGACCCCGGAGGCGCAAAGGCCCTGGGGTCTGTTCCTGCCAATGGGGAAGCTAAGGAGCCTTGGTGCAGAGGCCTACGGCCGGGCCAGCTTCTCACTGAGGAAGCCAAGCTGGTTTGCGGGCCCTGGCTGGGCAGTTGGGCCACTGCCATGATCCCTCTGCCAGGGGTTCCCCGAGCAGGTGCTGAGGCTGTTACGAGCTGTGGCGGGCGATGCAGGTGCTGGGTGGTCTGTCTCCATCCCGTCTCCCCCTCCTCGAGGCTGTGCCTCACAGCACAGGGACATGTCCGACATCAGGCTGTGTCCTCAGGGGTCAGGGCCTCTGTCACCTGGGGGGTGACAGCCTGTGGGAGGCTCCTGGGGGCACAGCTCCTGTGGGCGCAGCTCCTGGGGGGACAGCTCCTGGGGGGGCAGTGGCTTCTGGTGGAGCCTGGGGTGCCCAGCGCCTGTGGGGAGCCTTTGACACCGACTCCTCCCCTGGTTCTCAGTGCCCCTCGGGGTGCTGCCCTGGGCCCCTGAGGTGAAGCCCCTTCTGCCTCGTGGTCGGCCCTCAGTCCCGGGGGTGAGAACAGGGCAGTTCCCTCGGGGGGCCTCCTGGTCGCCTGTGCGGCACCCACTTCCTGCCCGATGTGCCCACAGGAAAGGAACCCTAAGATGATGGTCTTCACTGAACTCGGAGCCCAGCGGGCTGCCCGGCCGAGCCCAGCTGCCGGCTCCGCGTGGTTGCTGTCCTGGGACACGTCGAGGGGGAGACGCCTGTGACGGACGTCTGGGGAGTGGGCGTGGGAGGAGGGGCTCCTGACAGCCTAAGGGCCGATGTCAGCTGCCCGGCCAGAGCCGGTGCCCGCCTGGTCCCCCTCAGGCCTGCTTCCCCTCTCCCTGCCATGGGCCTGGATCTGGAAGTCAGGACCTCAGGGGCAGGGCCATGGCCACCACCGCCGACCCCTGGAGGGCCTGCAGCTCCCAGGCTTTCCGCCCTGGTCCTGGCTGCCCCCTGGACTCCCGCCTCCCTGGGGAGTCACTCCCCCAGGCTTCCCACCCTCGCCCGTTGGGACAGGTCACACAGCGCCCTCTCGGGGCACCCACACTCCGTGCACTTAGGCTCCTCAGCCTGGTTCTCTCAGGGCCTTTGGTCCCCTCAGGCCCGACCCAGCTGCCCACCAGGCCCTGCACACACCAGAGTCCAGTCACTGCCTCCTCCCGGGAGGGAGGCCCAGGACCCCATCCCTCCCCCAGAGGCAGGGGCCACCACCGCCCTGCAGACCTCCCCCTGGTCACTCCTCACCTCCCCCCTACCCTCCGCCCCCTGACCCCCAGGGGGCCAACCTGCTGCCCTGCCACCAGCTGGTCCCCCTCGGCTGTGGCTCCAGTCAGGGTCTGCGTCCAATTCGTCTCCCAGACGCTGGCACCTAGTAGGTGTGCGACCATGAGCCTCGCTGGGCAGTGATGTCTCCTAACCCAGGATGTGGACGTTTCCAGAGCTGGGGCCTGGCCGCTCTGCTGCCCCTCCTCCCAGACCACCCCCCCCCCCCCCCCAGCTGCCCGGGTGGAAAA